AATTGACACAATAGCATTGAAACTGGTAACTAAAGACAAGGAGAATGGAAGAAAATTTAACTACCATCTTCGGAAAACCAGTCATTTGATCGTCTTGATTCTTCTAATCAGAGTCTGTACATATCACTTTTCCTTGGCCCTGTAAACAATGTGAGCGAATCACGACTGAAAATGATGTTCATATAAAACTAACTGCACAACTTGATAGTAGAAAATGGAATCCATCATGACTTATAAGAAGGGAAAACCTTATCGTCATCATTGTTCTCAAGATTCTCAACCAATGCTGATTCAGCCTCATCATCCACCTGCACCATTTCATCTTGTCATGGATACAGTGTGAATCTTGAACTCTAAAGAATGAACACCAACAATTAAATTTCAGTGTAACAAGGAACCGTTTGAGGATCATGGTTGACAATGGATTTGCATATGCAACAATTTGATGAATGTGATAAATTAAGCATAACAAATTCAGAAATTCCTAAGTGAAACTGCACAAGTGGTGTAAACTTGAATTACTTCTCAGGATCCCAATACCAGCAAGCAAGAACTGAGGAAATAAGTTTCTAGGCTGAAACAAACGTGCAGTTGACTTCATGTGAAGTTGATATTTTACAACCGTTTGATGACAATTTATTCAAATATGTCAAAACATCTAACGATTCTTAACAACAACTTCACGTGAAGTCGACTGCATATGAGTGTTCACCAAGTTTCAATTCTGACAAATACGAGAAAACTATTACCTTTATGATCTCCTCAGCCTCCTTCCTCAAAGTATCTTTGTAGTAACTGTCCATTACTCTAGCATGAAAAACATATGGAAATTTCTCCTGAAAAGAAAAGGAAATCATGCTTTGAAGGAACACAAACTTCATGTCGAACATATTAGAAGGCCGAAAGGGGCAGGGTTTTACCGAGTCATTCATGCTTTTCCACTTCTCAAACCCCATCCTTTCAACCATAAGCAAATTGTTTAGTTGATGATTTTCCACAAATTGTTCCCTGGGAAAGAAAGCTAATCAATATGAACATGAATTTTACCACAAATACAAACATGAAAACCTCCGTTCAATATCGAACGAAGATTGTAGTTATTCAACATAGAGAAGAAACAAAATTTTAAATCTAGATACACAAAGCAAGACCTTAATTGACAAGAAGTTTGAACATGAATCACATCTATAACAACAAGAAGCAAATGGTGATTTATTATCCTATCATGAACCATGTTTAAATTCAAACAATTAAACTTTACATATCTAAATATAAAACTTATTCATACATATATACACACACACACATGCACACACTATCCTAAACCATGTTAACATTCAAAGGATTATACTTTCGGAAGCATTTCAGGTGTTCCATAGTCTATGGTAATCCTGTGATCTTAACCGTTGATTTTTTTATAATTGAAATTAACTGCTAAGTTCACTAGATTACCTTTTTACCTTGGTGCACCTGAAATGGTATGCTTTACATATGTAAAATATAAAACCATTCATGTGGACCAATCAAATAGCTTAAACCATGAATTGAACTTTAAAAATGTCAAAGCACACACATGGCACTAGAATGTAATTACAAGTTCATTGATATTCCATTAAACAAACATGGGGGTGGGAAAGGCAAACGAAACATAAGATCATGAAAACTTGAAGGTGAGAGAGAGAAAGTTACATAAACAACCGGAAAGCAGAACGAGGCTGATCAAAAAAACGTGGCTTTGATTTGGGGAGTGATAGGGTTTCAAGCATTCCTCTGAACCTCTTAGGTTCAATCTTGTGCTCACAATCATGAATATCAGCCAATGCAATCGCCACAGAAACCCCACAGGTACCACTACACAATAAAAGAAGCTCGGAATTAGGGAAAATAAGAAGAAAAAGAAAAGGAAAATAGGGAAATAGAAAGATTAGTTTTGTTTATTTGCATGTAAATGAGAGATTACCATTTCTGAAAGGCGCTTCCATCTGGGGCTCGTAGAAGGGGAAATACCCTTTTCCTTGCTCTTGGTCTTGTTGCCATGGATGATGATGAAAGCACTAAATTCAATAGTTGGTTGTTGGTGTGGGTTGTGAAAGGTTGGAACTTAGAACACCACCGTTATTAGCATTTGATGCTGAAAAATGGGGTGTGCTTTGAAATTGAAAATGAAGTTGCTTTGGTGACGAGAACTCAACAGTTTCCAGCTTTGGTGGGGAAAGTGGCGCGTATTCTCCTCCTTATTGAGTTATATTTCCTTTTTTTTTTTTTTTTTAACTAATTTACATTTTTAATAAACTATTTTACTATTATATTTAAAAAAATATTTAGAGTCTTTATACCTTTAAATTGGTTAAGATGATGATAAATAATTTAGAATATGAGAATATAAAAAAAATGAGAAAGTCTAGGTGGACAATACATATTAAACAAACAATTAACCAACACTCTCCTTATTTGTTTATATGCATGATCTGATTTAAATTTTTGAATAATCACTTTTATTTATTTAAATGGTCAACTTTTTTTAATTTGAATAATCACTTTTGATTTTATTGGTCATCAAAATATTAATTTCTTAGAATTGATAATGAGATCATAGTATAGTTATATCAATTAAAAAAAAAAAGAAAATTATTTGTTAAAATTAATTTCATTGTTTAGACGAATTTTTTTTTATTAATACAAGTATCATAAATATCTATACCGTATATAATGAAAGTATATATTTTTTAGGGTAAAGTATGGTTTATTTTCCTAATATTTATTAAAAGTTTCAAAAATACTCTTTAATTTGATTTAATTTTATCCCTAACGTTTTCGATTGGTTTTAATTTTGTCCCTAATTGTTGATAATTTTACTCTCAATATTTTTATTTTGTCATCGATTAGGGGTAAAATTGAAACTAATCGAAAACGTTAAGGGTAAAATTAAATCAAATTAAATGTTAGGAATATTTTTAAAACTTTTCGCAAACGTTAAGGACATAAATCATATTTTACCCTATTTTTTAATACAATACTGTTTTTTAATTAACAAACAATTTGTCTATATTTTTTAGGTATTATTTTGTAGAAAAGAAAAAAATAGAAAAGAAAGAAAGTGGAGAGGAAGGGAGAAGACAACAGAAATAGGATATAAATTATATTTCTCTTGTAATGCTTGGTAGAAATGAAATTAAAAAGGAAATAAATAGAATTAATTTCATATCTTTTGTTTGTTTGAAGAGAAATATAGAAGAAGAGAAATAATCGTGTTATCGAATACCATTTTTATCCTTTGAAAAAATAATGTATTTATAGTCAATTTCATAAATTTATCTTTTAGTAGTAAAGTTAATTTAGATTTATAAAAGTAAAAAAAAAATTATGTATAATTAGAACTATTAAAATATAATATAAAATATCATTGACTTATATTAATATATGGAAGAGAAAGGTCATTTGATTAGGTTTTGATGAATGACAAACATTGAAGTTAAGGATAAGCGTTGGAAGCAAGCAACAAAACAAGAAGAAGAGTCCGCAAGCTTTGAAGATGGTTTAGTATCTTAGGATTTAGGTAAACTTCTTGTCAAGAACCAAAGTTTATTATCTCTCTCACACACACAAAAGAAAATGTTTTTAAAGAAAAGGTTTTATGAAAACTATGACCGTAAATGTTTTATAACTTGTTTTATAAATTAATGAGTTTAAAACTTAGTGCATGCTGTCAATCTTGACCTTTGTGCACTAAAATGATGATAACTTGAGTTAAAGAAGTCCAAACGACGCCGTTCTTGTTGCATTAGAAAGCTAACGTCCGGGGCTTCAGTTTGATATAAATATGTATAACTGTTTTTTTTGGAAA